CCAGAACTGGAGTTTAAGCCTAATCTGGGGAGAGCTTCTAGAAGGGGAATCCACAGAGGCAAGTACCTCTTTCTCCTTCCCTTCTCTCCCATCTCCGTCTCCCTCACCCAGCCCGGAGGTGCCATTCTCCTAATGACCTCAGATTCAGCATGAATATCTGTAGAGTATCTGAATGTGACTGACAGCGCCAAGAGGAAGAGAATTTTTCCAAACACTTTACCAAAAAAAGTTTTTCATAATTTTATCTTAATAATAAAAAAAGATAATTGTTCTCTTGAAAGGTGCCTTATAGATCTCTATCTAGTGCCCGAAACTGCAAATTGGTGAGCAACAAAACCACATTATCTTTATTTTCCATTAAGTCAGACTCCAATAAATTGTCCTCCTTTCTGAATCTCCCTCTTGGCTTCCAGGACCATGGCCTGAATCTACCACAGTAATCAGATTGGCGCCATAAGTGCTTATGTATGTGACAGGAGAGACATGTTAGCTGGGAGGTTTTCTATTGTAACATTGCACACACACAAAAAAGTATGATATAACACTGCCACACACAAAACAGCATGAGCAGCCACAATACTACAGGTCTCCTCTAATTGATCATTTGTTATCTAAGCTAATAAAATAGAAACATGCAAATTGACCATACCCCTGCTACACCCACAAGCCACGCCCACAAACCATGCCCACAAAGCCAATCAGGAGCAGATATGCAAATTAACCTAACTAAGATGGTGGCCATGGAGCTGGAGCAAGCAGGAGGTTTAGGTTGTCCCTGGCAATGGAGAAAGTCAAGCTCCCCACCTGCCCTGCCTGCCCTGAGCTCTGCTCAAGGCTACAAAGTATCAATTATAGAAGATAAATAAATCCCAGATACCTGCTTCCAGCCCGCGACTGTGGCCAGCCTGAAAATGGCCATCAGCCCCTCACCCAGGCTGGCCAGGCACCCCAGCAGGGACCCCCACCCTGAAGGGGGTGTGGGCAGATGCTCAATACAGGAGCTGCCCCGTGATGGTCAGTGCGCTCCCACAGAAGGAGCTCTGCTCAGCCACAAGCCAGGCTGATGGCTGCCAGTACAGCAGTGGTGGTGGGAGCCTCTCCCGCCTCCTCAGCAGCGCTAAGGATGTCCGACTGCAGCTTAGACCTGCTTCCCGCTGGCAAGTGGACATCCCCCAAGGGCTCCCAGGCTGCCAGAAGGATGTCTGACTGCCAGCTTAGGCCCAATTCCCCGGGGAGCAGGCCTACGCCAGCAGGTAGACATCCCCCGAGGGGTCTCAGACTGTGAGAGGACACAGGCCGGGCTGAGGAACACCCCCAGGCGCACAGATTTTTGTGCACCAGGCCTCTAGTTGTAAATAATGCTTTAAGCAAAAAGGGATAGCAAAGCTTGCTCAGCTTGTTCAATCATTAGTAGGACTTTTTATTCTCATGTAATTTTTTATAAATGGAGGAGTTGTTTTTGTTTTGTTTTGTGTTTTGGTTTCACACAATACTATGTGCAATTGGATAGTGCTTGTAGAAATATAAAGATCATTCGCTAGTTGGGCCAATGTGCTAGGTGGTTGAGCGTTGACCTATGAACCAGGAGGTCACAGTTCAATTCCCTGTCAGGGCATGTGCCCCAGTTACAGGCTCAATCCCCAGTAGGCGGAGTACAGGAGGCAGACAATCAATGATTCTCTCTCATCATTGATGTTTCTTTCTCTTTCTCCCTCTCCCTTCCTTTCTGAAATCATAGATAGATAGATATTCACTCATTAGTGTTTATTTTTGCCAACTCTTTGCAGTAGGTTGGCCAGAGATGTATTTTCTCCCTCTTTTACTTGTTGATGTATTAAATAAAGAATTGATTACATAATGCTAGATCCTGTAATTCAGTGTGTTTAAAACATAAAACCTATATATTACTAATTAAATTGACAGAAGTGTTTTTATTTTAAATGGACATATTTTTCCCTAATTTCTGTTTTTTTTTAATTTTGTTTTATTGCTTAAGGTATTACAAAGAATATTACATATGTCTCCTTCTTTTTTTCTCCTTTGACCTTCCCCGGGCCTTCCCTACCCCCCAGTGTCTTGTATCCATTGGTTATGCTTAGGCCCAACTTGCATGCATACAAGTCCTTCGTTTGATCTCTTAATGCCCCTCCCCAACCCTCCCCAGCCTTCCTGCTGTAGTTTGACAGTCTGTTCGATGCTGCTCTGCCTCTATTTTGTGTGTTGATAGCCCTCAGACTGCACCTCCTCACTTTGTGTAAGAAGACACTGTGGGAAATTTTTCAGCAACAACTCATATTTCCCACAAAAAGAGATTTTGGCATTATGATTTTATTTGTGCCTATCTCCTCCCTAAGATTCCAAAAGATATTTGTAAATACCCCTGCTGAGTGTGTTTTAGTCATTAACTACATATTTACTGGCAACTAGTGCTTAGCACTATGCCCGGTACTAAGTGTATAGAGATAAATCCGACTTCTCGTGATCTGAGTCACTGGGGACACAGGTTTGTAATAGCTAACTATAAAAGAATGTGATCCTTGTCATCTGAACAGCATACTTGGGACAGAAGAAGTAGTTACTTCTAGTTGAATAACTGAAAAAGATTACATATAAACTGAGTGATGAAAACTGACCAGGAATTTGCTAAGAAGAAAAAGAGGAAAGTAAAGGTATTCTAGGTATTTGTGTTCAAATAAAATCATCTACTCTTCTTTTCCATGCACAGACTGAAAAATTCATTCATCCATTCCTTCAACAAGTGTTTAATGAGTTCCTACTGTGACCAAGGAATTCAGAAACAAGATACTTCTAGGTCTGTGTTGTGTGAGAGTCTGCGATTGCCTAGAGTCCGGAGACCATTTTTCTTTGCCCATAATATATATATATATATATATATATATATATATATATATATATATACACATACATACCACATTTAAAGATCCATTAAGAGAAAATTACATTCTTTCAGTTAGCCTACAGCACACAATGAGTGCCTACCATATGCTCAACAGTGTTCAGGAGAGAACACTTACGGAAGGATTGAAGGGTTGTGCCCATCCAGGCACAGTTTCTTAAAGACCAGAGAACTTGGGATTGAGTTTGGTGATTGGCCATAGATAGGAACAAAAGAGAGAGAGAGGAGGAAAAGAGGCCTAGATGCCAGGCAAGCTGGTCAAAGAGGTTTTGGGAGGAGCAGATCAAGGGGACGATGGTACCAGCAAAGCTGAAACTAGAAAGGCCAGTGGGCTACGGAACTGCTCAGTGGTCACTGCTGGTGTGAGGGCCGCTCCCAGGAGCTGGGCAGGAGCAGCTGGCGGGGAAGGAAGCAGTGAGCACGGTCGAGGAGAATCAGGACAGGCAGGAATGAGGTCAAGAGAAAATGTCCTGCAAAGTGGCACAGACCTGCGTATGTTTAAGGCAAAATGGACGTGTGGATGCAATTTATTGCTTTTGGGGATCAAATGTCTTGGCGTATTTATTATTTCATGAAAATTCTCCACTTCAATTTTCTTTATATATTTTCAGGTTAACACAATCTGTGAAAAACTTTATTTTTATTTGTTCACTGAATAGATGACATATGTATGGACTTTTTCCTCATTTTCAACTGTTTTTAAATTTTAAGATGCAAATGGACATTTGCAATGATAAGTAGACCATATTTCTAATGATTATGTATAGCTCACACAATAATTATGACTCTTATTACATGGAATAGTTTTCATTGCAATGGCTCATTTTATCCTGAATAATTTTATTTATATGCTTAAAATATAAAGTCACTATTACATTTTTTGCTACATAAATAATAAGCAGTGTCAACAGTGGAATTTAAAAGAGAATGATTACCAATGAAAACTGTTATTTTTGAACATGTGTTCCATAGCATGAGAACAAAATGTATTCAGCCCTTCAATTTATAAAGAGAGAGAAATGTGTTTAAAATTGGAATTGCACCATTCAGAGAATAATTCATGCAGTCATAAGAGAAATGTAAATGCTTCATGTCAGTGGGTAGCGAAAAAAGTCACATTTCAATAAAACATTTGGCTACATAAAAATCTCTTCTTTTAAAGAGAGAAAATAGAAAGTCGGGAATCCAGCAGCGGGCCTTTAACATGACTCAGAATCAGAAAAACTATAGTGATTGAACCCAGGTGATACATAGAAAAAAACATTATTCTATGAGGAATCTGATGAGCATCATCACTTCTCTACTTTCTTCTGAGCCAAGACAGACCTAATTCAAGGTCAATGACCCCCAGCGTATTAAGTATTTTAATGATCTTCATAAACAATAAGACCCTCTATGAATTGTAAGTGGGCGTTGATTTCTTTTTCCAGTGGGGCTGATGCTTTTGCCCTGGTTAGTCTGTGCTCTTGCACTTAGGATCCTCTGAGTTCACCAGCCTTCCTGCTGTAGTGGTTTGCCAGGCTGTGAAACAGAACATAGCCAGCTGACCCGCCAGAGGTGAAAGCTGTGCCCTTGCCTGTGCCAGCAGGGCTCCCACTGCAGGTTACTGAGCTAGGAGTTCACCCAGAGAGAGTGTCCTCTGGAGGCCGGCACCTGGTTCAAACCCAGAAGTCCCAGTATGCTCGCTCAGTGAAGTGGGAAGTTTGGTCCAGTCTAGCTGCGGCACCTCCTGCTCCCCTGTTAGGCCCTGCTGTAATGTCTCCCATCTTTCGCACTGGGAGTGCCCGCTTTCCCTTCCCTATCCCACACCGCCCAACCTTGACAAAACCCCTTTCTGGAAAGATGCTTGTATGCGTGTGAAAGCCTCAGCATCAAGTCTCCCGAAGTGTTTGAATGTTAAGTTTGTCTCCAAAGGATTGTTTTTCTCCTTACAGCTAACAAAAGGTAATTGCCAATCATATCCAAAGTGAATCATTTAGGTGTTTTAGAATTCTCCTTACAAATTTCACCATGATGAGTAGCAAAGGTCTGACAGACAGAGACAAGCAGTTTTTGCATTTATTCTTTTTTTTTAACTTTATAGCGGAAACCCGCACTGGTGGTAGAAGATCTTTTTGAAGACATGAAAGATGGTGTTAAGCTCCTTGCTCTCCTGGAAGTCCTGTCTGGGCAGAAACTGGTAAGAATTTTTTCTGTGACCAGACTCACCGAATTCTTCCCATCTGGAATTGGCGGCGGTGGACTTGGGAGTGGAAGGGACTCTGCCCACGTAAGATAAAGTTTTTCTCTCTTGTAGTCAGTAAGATGCAGGAAACACTAGTCTATTGGTCACTTCTGGGAGCAAGGAATACATCCCCTTTCTTGTTCCCTCACACCTTTAGTAGGTTTAAAACAGTGTATACAGTAGCAGCAACCTTAGAACTAAGAGCAGAGACCGCCTCAGTAGTCAGTCAGTCATGGTTAACTCTTGCATCCGTGTGGCACCCAGGCAGCTTGGTTGCACACGGACATCTACCTCACTTGTTAGCGAGTGTTAGCTTGCCATGTGGAAAGGAGTGTCGGTCCATTCCGGTGTGTTTATATAGCCCTTTGTTGAAAAGTGAGCTGAAATCAACGCGGCAATTTTTCATAAGCTTGTGGCCACCCTCCAACACCAGCGCTTTGTCACGGGAACAGCACGTTCTGGATCATTTGCTTTCAGACACAGCGAACGCGGCAGAGTGAAAAACAACACTGATAGTGAGCGCTGCGTTTTCCCCCAGTACTCAAATCATACAATATTTTTTTCTGGGTTATATTTATTTTTATTTCAGAGTGATAGAGAAATAAGTAGTTTGCAGACATAAGCTATTATAAATGCTGTTTACCATAGTTAGAGAAAGGAGCTCAGGAAATGGTCTTCATCATGTTGTATACAAAGGGTTCAAAATTGGGAGTACTTATCTTTTTCTGTATCTATTGCATCTTGACAGGTGCTACACAATCATTATTTCTTGGGTAACTTAGTGGGGTTTTTAATTGCTTTGCCTGAACATAAAATTTCTAGTTAATGTTGTGAAGAGAGTCCTCAAAATAGCTTTTGGAAGAGGTTGTTTATTGAAACATACAAACTGATAGTAATGTTGTGTAAGTCATTTTCTAGTTTGATTCCTAGCAGATGCTTCCTGTGGCCCGGATGCCACCTCTGCTCACGTCTGATTTCAGCCACACAGTGGTGGGCGTTACCCAGGCCCCCACCAGCATCGGATCTCAAGCTCTGGTAGCATATTGCTGGGATTCTGCCCTTCGTGCTTATCAAAGCCACAGATTGCACCAGGCAGCCCTCAAGTATAGGAGAGTTAACGGTCCCAGAGGACCCTCATCCAATGGCAGTGGGAGTCCATGAATAAATGCTCCAGCCAGGCACTTGCAGGAGGAATGGTTCTAAGGCCGATTTTACAGATCTCATAGAGCGCCCAGTGGGACCCCCAGGGGAACTGAGCCCAGTTGCCCACAGTGGGACCCTCCAGAGCACACCCTTCGTTAGCTTTTCCCACTTCCTTGTTTCACTTTTCACGAATCCTCACTTTTGCTTCCTGGGATCAGCTCCCCAATGAACTACAGGCAGCCAAGTCTTTCCTCAGGCTCTGCTTTGGGGGAAATCGAACAGGACACATGAACAGCCAGTTTGGAGATACAGATGTACGCATGAACCACACACGCTGGATAAGTGTTAGGGTGTAAGAGGCATTGAGCTGAAATACATACTCCCTTGATTGCCACATATAGCTGGTCATGTGTATATATCCTCCTGAATCGTGCTGTTTCCTAGAAGGTTGAAGGAAGCCTTATTACAATTCAAATGGATGTATTTAAGAAGTATACTATTCTAAGGGCCAATATAATTCTGCCGTTGTACATTAGCATAGGTCAAAACAGACATAACCTGAAAATAACCCAGAGTCACTTCAAAAGGAGAGGGGTTTCATGGCACATAATATAGCTGTCAAAATGAATGAAATACAGTGACAGGCAACGACTTTGATGAACCTTAGGAATAAAATATTATGTGGAAAAATAAGTCTCAAAAGATTAATGCAGTGATAACCTTTATATAAATGTAAAAACTAAAAAAATATTATTTTTAATAATGCATATACATGAAATGAATTTATATAAAAGAAAGGCATTGGACTAGATTTAGTGTGATGGTTTCCATGAATGAACTGAATGATGGCGTTATTGCTTTTTATATAGAAAGGCATTGGACTAGATTTAGTGTGATGGTTGCCATGGATGTAGGAAGGCAGATAGGTGAATGGACTGAATGATGGCGTTATTGGCTTTCATACGTAATTTCTGGATCCTGGCTTTGTTCAGTTGGCAGGTTTGTAGGTGCTTTTTACACTATAAAAAAATAACCAATTAAATAAATAACTTGGACTGAATGATGGCGTTATTGGCTTTCATACGTAATTTCTGGATCCTGGCTTTGTTCAGTTGGCAGGTCTGTAGGTGCTTTTTACATTATAAAAAAATAACTAATTAAATAAACAACTAGCCCTAGCCTAGAGCCCTAGCCGGTTTGGCCCAGTGGATAGAGAGTGGGCCTGCAGACCAAAGGGCACGTACCTTGCTTGCAGGTTCTCCCTGGCTGGGCCCTGGTCAGGACAGTTGGCTCAGTGGATAGAGAGTGGGCCTGTGGACCACAGGGCACATACCTTGCTTGCAGGTTCTCCCTGGCTCGGGCCCTGGTCAGGACACACACAGGACACAACCAATTGATGTGTTTCTCTCACTTCAATGTTTCTCTCTGTCTTTCCCTCACTCTTCCACTCTCCCTAAAAATCAAGGGAAAAATACCCTCGATGGGACTCTTCCCCCTCCCTACAGGGGATTTTTTTTTAAAATAAACATTGTGATACATAGAAAGCACATGATAATTTTAGTAACTCAGACATAAGTAATCAGAACATACATTTGTGTAGATAATATTTTCATTCTCACAATCCTACATTTTAACCTTGGCCTGTATATTTAGATCATCTAAATCTAGAAATGTTATAACATTGTCAATAACCTTTCATGTCAGTATAACTGAAAAAAAAAATGGTGAGTTACCAAGAGTACCTTTTCAAAGACTTAATTTTTTTTAGAGTAGTTTCAGATTTACAACAAATTTACAAGAAAAGTACAGAGATTTCCTGTATACCTCAGGCCCTCACATAAAGGCTACTTTTCATATAAATAGTAGAGGCCCAGTGCACAGATTCATGCACCATTGGGTCCCTCGGCCTGGCATGTGCCCTCTCGCAATCTGGGACCTCTTGGGGAATGTTGGAGAGCTGGTTTTGGCCCAATCCCCGCAGGCCAGGCCGAAGGACCCCACCGGTGCACAGATCTGTGCACCAGGCCTCTAGTATGCATATAAGATCTTTGGTTAATCTATCCCTGCCTTTCCCCCTACCCACTTCCGTCTGAGATTCATCAGTTTGTTCCATGTCTCCATGCTTAACATTGTGATACATAGAAAGCATATGATAATTTTAGTAACTCAGACATAAGTAATCAGAACATACATTTGTGTAGACAATATTTTCATTCTCACAATCCTACATTTTAACTTTGGCCTGTATATTTTGATCATCTAAATCTAAAAATGTTATAACATTGTCAATAACCTTTCATGTCAGTATAATTGAAAAAAAAAATGGTAAGTTACCAAGAGTACCTTTTTAAAGACTTAATTTTTTTAGAGCAGTTTCAAATTTACAAGAAAAGTGTAGCGATTTCCTGTATATCCCAGACCCTCACATAAAGGCTACTTTTCATATAAATACTAGAGGCCCAGTACATGGATTCGTGCACCAGTGGGGTCCCTCTGCCTGGCCTGTGCCCTCTCGCAATCTGGGACCTCTTGGGGAATGTTGGAGAGCTGGTTTTGGCCCAATCCCCGCAGGCCAGGCTGAAGGAGCCCACCAGTACAGGAATCCATGCACCGGGCCTCTAGTATGCATATAAGATCTTTGGTTAATCTCT